TGGGTGTACTGATCCAGGAGCTCCTTTGTTTTCTGGATTGGGATCAAAATTACAAGGATACGGAGTTGGGTCGGCTGTTCAATGACTGTTATAATATAAAATAAAATAAGCAGTCGTAAACTCAAAAAATTGGATCGGCTGTTCAATGACGGTTATTAAAAAAATATCGACCTCAGATTAGTTTTGAAAAATTTCATCACTTTATAAATACCGAAAGTATTGACACTCGATAAATATCGGAAAAAAATTTCGACACTCGATAAATACCGACACTTGATAAATTCTGACAGTCGCTAAAATTCCGAGACTGGATAAATATCGAAAGAAAAAAAAACAAAAAAAACAGACACTTAGTAAATACCAAAAAATAGGGATACTCTATAAATACCGACTACATCGTTACCCAATGAGTAAAATTTATTTCTGTAGGAAGAAAAAGAAGAAAACCTTTCTCATCACTATCGCGATATTAGAAGTTCAGATGTTGTCCAGTATTAGTCATGTATGGTTGTAAGACTCAAAATTAGTTTTTAGTTCAATGATTTACTTCTTTTTAATCATATTTATTTAATTCTCGATAGAATCAGAATTAAATTTTTTTTTTTCAATTTCAAAATAAGGTTTTGAACAAGATATACTGAACCTCTTACGGCCGCCTTAACATATTGCTTATTAATCATTAATTGCGAGACGTGAATCTTTATGTAGCATTCTAAAATGTAGATGCAAATGGAAAGCATTTTTACTTTAAATTATTTTAATTTACAATGGCTATAAATTTATATTGTTCCATTGCCACTATATAGATGCTTTTCATTACAACAATCGTTAAAAACAACAACTTTGTAGTTGCTTTTCTTTTAGAAATACTAAAATGTAGCATTCTAAAGTGTAGATGCAAATGGAAAGCATTTTTACTTTAAATTATTTTAATTTACAATGACTATAAATTTATATTGTTCCATTGCCACTATATAGTTGCTTTTCATTACAACAATCGTTAAAAACAACAACTTTATAGTTGCTTTTCTTTTAGAAATACTAAAATGTAGCATTCTAAAATGTAGATGCAAATGGAAAGCATTTTTACTTTAAATTATTTTAATTTACAATGGCTATAAATTTATATTGTTCCATTGCCACTATATAGATGCTTTTCATTACAACAATCGTTAAAAACAACAACTTTATAGTTGCTTTTCTTTTAGAAATACTAAAATGTAGCATTCTAAAGTGTAGATGCAAATGGAAAGCATTTTTACTTTAAATTATTTTAATTTACAATGGCTATAAATTTATATTGTTCCATTGCCACTATATAG